CCCCAAAACCCCAAAACCCCAAAACCCCAAAACCCCTTTGGGAATTATTAAATTTGAAAATTATGGAGGAAGTCAAAATGTACGAAGAGGATGCTGAGTCTGAAGATGACCAGTTTAATGAAGAAGGGCCCCAAAATAGGTAATTTTTAAGTGTGATTTGTTGATAGTTTGCTCCAAAATGATACTTTTGACAGAAAAGATCCAGAATTTGGCAGTGAAGATGAAAAAGAGCAAGAAAATAGGTATGCTGAAGAGAAAGGAGATGAATATAATGATAATGAATTCTCAAAGAATTTCAATAAATATGAAGGCAGAGAGTCTCAATTTGATAAGAATACATCAGGTATGACTGATAGTAAGAGCAAGAACAAGAAGATGGAAGAGGAAGAGAAACTTAAGCTTGATGCACTTTTGCATGGAGAAATTGACCCTAATAAAAAGAATACCAATGTAGATATAAACACTGGTCTTGATCTTAAAATCAGGCACAAGCTGCATAAAATCTTTCTATCAAATCCAATCTTATCAGAAGGATTCACTGGATTTCTTGCTTGGAGTTCTTCCCTAATTTATGTTGTCTTGTCATATTCAAACAGTGAAGGCTACTCCTGGTTTGATATTGTTGATTTATTGCTTTGTATCGTCTTTCTTCTCGAATTTTTACTGAGAATATATGCTTCACAGAACAGGTTCAAATATTTAAAAAGTTTGCATTCCCTTACCAAAATTTTAATTATTTTTCCAATTATGATATTTTACAACAATCAGTCGTCTTTGTATCCGAAGGTATTGATTTCAATTTCAAGATATTTAAGGATCATCAGAATCACAAATGTATTGCCGATAGTCTTCAGTATTGGAGAGACTGATGTTGCTCGAAAGCTTTACACCATAATAATATCTTCAGCAATGCTACTTTATATCTCAACAGGGGTTATTATGACAATCGAAAATTATGATTTAGAGGAAAAGAGAGATTATTTCATTTACTTCTACTTTATAGTTGTAACCCTCTCAACTGTGGGATATGGAGATATCTACCCTGTGACTGATGCAGGTCAAATGTTTATTACAGGAATTATCATCTTTATTATTATCATGATCCCGAAGCAGACAAATGAGCTCCTGCGATTGCTTAATATGCAAAGTCAGTATTTTAGAGCCAAATATAAGAAGGATCCAGAAATCCCTCATATTGTATTGACAGGAGAAGTAAGACTACCTGCTCTCAAAAACTTTTGTGAAGAGCTATTCCATGAAGATCACCGTGATCAGGAGAAACATTCTGTGATTCTTCTTCCTAACGACCCTGCAGCTGATATGGAAATCTTTCTTAATGATCCAAAGTATGAAGGTCTGTTATTTTATTTAGCTGGCAATGCAATTAATTCTTTTGATTTATTCAGGTCATGCCTTTCTTCATGAAACGCTTGTATATTGATGACCAATAAAAACTCTAGAGATGCCTATGTTTCAGACCACAAGAACATTCTAACAGGTCTGGCTATGAAGAAGTACGTTCAAGATAAACAAGGAAGCAATACTCTAAGACTTTGAATGCAGTTAATTAAGCCTGAAAGCAAGCAGCATTACTACTCTTCTGTAAACTTAGTTTCAAATGAGGATCAATTAATAATAACAGAAGAGATCAAGATGAATCTTCTCGCTAAATCTTGATTTTCTCCTGGAATTTTGAGTCTTGTGTCCAATCTGATCTCATCTAGCTCTGAAGCTGAAGACCAAGAGGTGGTTTGGCTCAAGGAATACTCTGAAGGAATGGAACATGAAATCTACAGAATTCCACTTAGCCCAAAGATGGAAGGAAAGTACTTCAAGGACATTGTCAAGATTATTTACCTAAAGCTTAAAGCTATTGTCTTTGGTCTTGAACTGACTTGCAACAATAAGACTATTATTCGTTTGAACCCTAGCACATTCAGAGTGAGCAATATTATTGACAACAAGGCTCATGTATATATTGTATGACCTGATCAGACGATTGCTGAAACAATTGAGGTAATTGATATGACCAAAGAGCAAAAGAATGACTACTACAACTCTAAAAATAAGGAAGAAAAGGTTCAAGAGAAAGTCCTACTTGGATATGAACAACTGCTTAACGAAGAGGATGATGAGGAAGAGGACGTCATGTACTTCTTTGACCAATATGACACCAGAAATGAGAAGGATGAAGAAGTTGATATTTCTGAGGATTATTATGTACTCAAGAATCCAAAATAAGCAAACTAATGTCACAGTCTCTACTATTGAAAATAGCATTGAAGTTATCAATCATATTGTCGTATGAGGAATTCACTCAGCAATTTATCATTTTGTTTTGCCATTGAGAGCTAGATATCTTAAGAACATTCAATATATTGTGATAATTAGTGAAGATCCAATTAGGCCAGATATTTGGGAATCAATTTCTAGGTTCCCTCGGATTCTTCTCATAAATGGATCTCCTCTAAGTAAAGAAACTCTTTTAAAAGCTAATATAAATTATGCTGATAAAGCTGTGATCCTTGGACATGATTCAACTCTAGAAAATGAAATTGAAGCAAAAAATAATGAGATGCTTGATTCAGAGACTATCTTCATTTACAAAACTATCAAACAATGTAACAGCGATCTCCAAATTATGACAGAGCTGTTTTATAGTTCAAATATTGAGTTCCTTTTGCCAAAGAGTCAGGTGAATTTTGATTATAAATATTCAACTCTATTTGCTGCTGGAGAGGTGTATATATCAGCAATCATAGATACTCTGACTTGTCAGTCCTATTACAATCCTCATATAGTGACTATCTTACAGCAAATTCTCAAAGGAGCAAGCGTTCCTGATTCTGAAGTAATGATTGCCAATCCTGATCTTTGACAATCAAATCTGTGGCAAATACCAGTCCCAGAGGAATGTATTAGTAAAACTTTTGAGCAGCTGTTCCTTTATTTCCTCGAAAAAGATCTTATATGTTTGGGTCTATATCGATTAAAGGCTACCACTGACAATGATCTACCTTATGTGTATACCAATCCAAGACCAAACACTTATGTCACTCATAAAGATAAAGTTTTTGTGTTTGGAAATGACATTGAACAAGAAAATGCACCGAAAATCATCCCCGACATCACTCTTCAAGAGAGTAAAGTAGATATGTTCTCCACATATGAGTTGTTCAAACCGGCATTTCTTCAAAAACAAAAATTGAATGGATCCTACGACAGTAAGTTCTCTATTTATCTGTAGAAAATTTTGATAATCCGAAAAGGCCAGCTTCTAACCACAAGAAGCCATCTGATATAGACAAAATCCAAGAAGAAGAGAGCGTCACCTCCTCGATGACATCGAACAGAGACCACAGCAAGGATATGGATAATAGCTCTGTAGGAGAGCTCACAATGAGTGCTAATAAGTACAAGGCTAAAATTAAACAGGAGGAAGACGATAAAATATTTGGAGCAAACCCCAACAAGGTTTCATCATCTATGGCTTCTATTATCAGATCCCTCAAGAAGTCAACAGATATGGTTGAGGAAGAGGTTAATAGCTTGCTCGCTTCTCTAGATACTCAGAACAGGATTGTCAAGAAGGCAGTCAAAGACCTTACACTTAACTATTTAGAGAGTGCTAAGAAGGCCCAAGAGATGTACGATAATGAAGACGATTAATATTTCAACTAAGTTATAATAACATGGGGTTTTGGGGTTTTGGGGTTTTGGGG